TGTTGAGATTTACAACTAAAGTGAAGATTACATCCAAAATTTAGGGAGGTCAAAGCCCTTGGAAGTTGGGTGCAAATAAATAGGGAAATAATATTATCGGGCGTAGAATTGGAGATTTTAGAGTGATTTCTTAATTCGGTCCTATCGTTTGGGTGTTGAAGTGTAGATGTTAGCCCTCAGGCAAGGCGAACGTGGGGGCTCCGAAGTGAGAGTCGGTATCCGCCCAACCTAGCCACAGATTCAGTAAACAAGCATAGGATTAGTCAATGTTCTTTATGCCTGGACCAAAGGATAAAGAATAAGTATACTCCTATTTGACACTTTGACACTATATAATTTGAACCAATTCACTTTATCCATTCATTATAATTTATTGAGAAGGAGAATGATGCTTTCTTATATTGAATATCACATTTAAACCCTTATTAGTATCATTCATTATTTAATAGTTATTAAAATTATATATTTATTGCAATTGCCTATTAGTGGCAGATAAGCAAATTGAACTTTGTTGTTGTGATTAAAGTATTGTTTTTTCTAAAATCTTAGTTCGTAATTCTCAGTTCTTATTATCTCTCAAATAAACCTTCCCTAGATCACTATGAGTGTAGTTTTTGAATACCTCTTTATTGGGGAAAGTATGAAAAGAGACACATGAACCCACTATCCACGATTCAGTACTGACTAGGAATAACACCAGAGAGTCACTTTGGATTTCACTCGTGGAGACATGGTATAGAGATTCCTTTTCTATTCTCCACCACCAGCTTTCCTTGGAGCTTTGCAGCCCTTCTTATAATGTCATTTCTTACACCAGTTTCAACATTCTCCTCTGCTTGGCTTGAACTTTCCTCTCTTGGAGTTGAATCTATGTTTGCCTACATTTCTTTCTAAAATTCATCCTCTATTATCAGCATTCAATGCAGAGCCTAATAATTCACCATTCGTTTCTTTTCTGTGAACTTCTTCATTCAACATCAGACCCATGATATGATCAAAGTTCAACCTCGAATTCCCTAAAAATTTACTCACCTTAATGACCAAACCATCCTTGTTGTTCAACAATGAACATATTATCATCAGTATTTTGATCAAATTATTAAATTTGATCCCCACAGTACACACTGGCTCCTCACAGTATTAAAGTTATTTAGATGTTTTGCAACTGAACTGCCTTCAACTATGCATCTTCATGTTGAATAGTTTCTTCATCAAAAAATTCTTATCGAAAGAAGAATTTTTTTCATTCAACTTTGTTAGTGCTTCCATCAGATCCACCATGGTTATCTCATTTACTATGTTAAACACAAGAAAATAGAAAAATGACAACTGAATCAAACCTAGTGTCATTCGATCCAATACCTCCCAATCCTCCTAGGCATAAACACAAGCTTTCTTGGAGTTCTTTGAGTTGGAAGTTATAAAAATTTAGGATACAGCAAATGCTCCACTTGCAACTTTCAGAATGTGAAGTATATCTTATTTAACTTCTCCATATTGAACATTGAATTGTCATCCATTGCTCCCACTTGAATCAAACACTACTCTGATACCACTGTTTTAATGAAATACTTGAAAGAATTTCCTACCATATTCACGAGGGCTTTGTCTCGACATAAATCTAAACCATGCCATGGAATAGGATTGCTTGGATTTGAGAGAACCCAAATAAACATGAACAAAAGCACACAAAAAACAAATCAGAAAAAAACATAAGAATTTAACGTGAAATAACCAGAGAACTAGAAAAAATCACAGAGCCACGACACTGAAGAAAAACAACTATGTAAAACTGAGATTTTACTGAGAATACATTCAATTTCCTCTCCTCTCTCAAAAAAAATTTCAAGTCCTAGCTCCAAACTCTTTCTTCTTCAATCCAACATGAGAAACACACAACAAAATTATTGAAATCCTTCTCTCTGGCACTCATCGCCTTCACTAGGATTTTTGTCAAAGAACAACACATAGGAAGTCTTACATACGCCGCTCAAATTCATCCTTAAAACCATAAATCATGTGATAACTATTTCGACCACATAAGCACCCGAAATTGGTCGGCTTAGCTTCAGTAGCTCGAGAAGAAAAGACATGCCTAGGGCCGCAAGAGCAAGAGTGTCCAATATTGGGCCCCTAATCACCCATAGGGGATCGCTCGAGTTCCTACCTCTTGGCTGCTTCTATAGAAAGGGCGCAATAGTGGTTAAATCTTGGCGCAAACGTGCCAACTGTTAGCTCTGTGCAACATGTGGGTGCTCGAAATTAGGCTCCACACCATAAGAAATTTTCTGCCTAATTAGTGTGAATCTACGACTTGATAAATAATTGGTCACTAGTTATTCTAATAATGGTAAATTAACTGACAAATTTTATAATAATTATCATAATGACAGAGAAAAAAATCCTATTAGTTTTCGTTGCATAACTAATTTATTAATTAATATCTATTTGTATAATTAAACAAAATAAAATTTTTATGGTATACTGGTATTATAGAAAACACAAATTAAGTAATCATAATGAACGTGAAGTAAATTCATCATGATAATAATTAAAGACATATTAATATTTTATAATTGATAAAAAGTTTGGTAATCAATTCAAACCTTAATCGTCAAATTTAAAAACTAGAAAAATCTAAGAGTCTTACCAAAAAACTTAAATTAATCTTCACTTATTCAAATTATATTTATTGTTAAGCTTCTTTTTATGCATTCGAATTATATTATTTTTATGTTTAAAGAGAAAAAAAAAATTGATTTACATACATACCACTCATTTTTTATGTACTTATACGTCAAACACTTGAGCTTAAATTTTTGCCTATATACCACCGTACATATGCAAAAGCTGTGTTTCAATTAAAAAAAAAAATATATTAAAATGGTGATATTCTTATGCGATTTATATAAAAAGTAAAATTTAACTGTTAGCTACGTAAGAAACTAGAATCCGGTGGTATGTATGTTAATGCCGCAACAGATATATATATATAAACTTTGATATATATGTCCAAAATGATAAAAAAAAAGATAAACTAAATCAAAATAAGTGTTCATTGCATTTCAAACACAGAAGAAAAATTTATTAAATTCAATCGCTATGTTTAATAATCTGAACAAAGCTTAATGGTAATTTATCTACTAATTATTTATGCGTGGAGCCAAATATAGATATGGAAAGCAGTCCAATTAAGCGTTGGTAGAACTCGAAATATTCTGATAACAGGTACCTAAAATTTAAGCTCTCTCAAGTTGGAACAGGTTAGATGACAGATGTTCCATCACTAGATGGGTGTTAGCTGTAAACATGATAGGAATACATATTCCCACATTACTATTATATATCTTAATAAAACATTAAATTTGTCAAGCGAAGGACAATAGGTTATTGCCATGATGAGTACAAAGCTTTTGTTCCTTACTGTGTCATCGGTTATCTAATGCTCTTTTGCTTTTAAATTAGTATTTGCCGTCTTATTCATTAAAATGGACCGTTCATTTCAATTTTTTTTTTCAATCCATTTGGTCGACTACACGAATAAAATATCGCACAGCCCTAGGTAATTTGGGGACATCTTATTCCTAAAATTTAACACGTTCATAATAGGAATAATAATAATAACTGCATTGAAAGCGACCTTTGTCCCATTCCATTAATTACGCTCATCCAACTTGAAGTTTCTCTCCATTTCACCGCCATAACTATTGTTTTTCATGCTCTTTCTCTTTTACCATCCAATGCTCATGAAATTTATAATCCTATATATATACTTGGCTTGTCTGTTCCACTAGCCAGCTTCAAAGCTCTATAAATTAACCCTTCTACCCATTCTGTCTCCAGTCTCTTCCCTCTCCTCTTTCTCTCCTTTCTTTTCTCCCTCCTCGGCGCTGTTCCAGCTTATTTCATCTCCAAGTTTTCTTGTAAATTAACAGCAATGTTGGGAGCAGGGAACAGATCTCCTATTGTACGTGCTAACTTACAGATCGGAGATATATTTATACGCTTGTCATTTTTATTTTCTAGTTTATGGGGATTTATAACCAGAAAATTGTAAAGTTTTTTCTTGGTATATATATATTGATTGGACTAACTGTTTGAGTTGCATTTGATTTGTAGATAAATGAGGAGCAAGGTGGAAGTGAAGCGGTTAATGAGATGGCTATGAAGGAGTATGGTGATGAATGGACAATGGATGGATCTGTGGACTTCAAAAGCAGGCCTGCAAGGAGAGGCAAGAGTGGGGGATGGTTGGCAGCATCTCTTGTGCTTGGTAAGATCCTCTCTTTCATCTCGCTCTACCAAAATTCGACGCTTTTAGCTTCAAATTAATTAATATACTTCTATAAAATCATGACATCCTTTCAAAAATTAGGTAATCAGGGTAGTCACACACAAGTCCTATTCTTGAAGAAATCATTAGTTCATGATATGCATGCATAGTTCTGGGAAAATTAATTTGAGTGAATATATCGTAGTATTATTAGAATTAATAGATTATTGGGTGCCCGGCTCAGGGCACCAATAGCTTTTCATGAGAATTCAACTTTTCATAGTTCAGCTTCTTTCTAATGCTCTTATTGTAAACGTTTTTTCTATATATGCCTAAGAGAGTGTCCAACTGGCTTTTAGTGTTATTTATGTGATAGGCTGTCGGCCTTATCAGACAGCATATCCTTAGTGATCTGAATCTGGACATTTAGAGTTCTGATGTGTCTCTCTTACCTAACTAGTGCTCCGGTTCCGGTTCTAAGCTAGGAAGGCCTCATCGAAGTTCTTTTTTATTATTATTATTATTTTATTTATTATTTTTGTTAACGTCATAAAGCAAGATTAGAGCTCTACTAGATTTTATATTTTTTGATTTATGGTAGTTTTTTTAACGTAAAAGTGTGATGAAAACTTTAAGATCGCAAGGAGATTATTTTGACATGTTTGTCTAACATTCTCATTTTAATATCTATTCAATGAATATAGAAGCTATCATGTAACTTTGATGAAATTTGAATCCGCGTGTTAAAATTCACAATTAATGTGTGATTTTGAGTTTGAAGATTATTCCAGCAAAAAGTTTTTAAAAATAATTAGTAGGAGAAAGCTAAACTTTTATGTGATATTCTACACACTCAATAGGATAGAGGTCACAGGTAGGAGTTTAGTCCATGATCAAATTTAATTAAAATATTAACTAGCTCCCTGCCAGTAGTTTGATTGATAATTAATCTTTTTCAAATGAATATATATA